ATTCGATCTCACAGAATGCATATTTATGGGCAGATCTTTAAGAACGGTGCGCCAAGGCAGAGATAAGAAATATACACTGACAACGCCAATATTCTCGATATGAGACATTCTCTGTTTGTGTGTTGGTAATTCGGATTACCAACAAACAAACAGAGAATGTCTCATATCGAGAATATTTAACATTGAACACGAGGAAAAATTAATTATTTTTAATAATATGTGGAAATCTCCACTTTTACCTGAAGACGGTCGCCAGACCAGAAACACGTATCGTAAAATTATGTAAAACAAAGCATAATATTTTTTCTAAATAAATCCACATTACAACCAAAAACGTTTGCGGCACCTCTCTTCTCTTCTTTTTAATATACATACTTTTCTCTCGTTGGAACCACTACAACATATTTCTTTTATATATATATATATATATATATATATATATATATATATAAAATATATATATGCTTATAAATATATATATAAGTATACTCGTTCGGAAAAAACTTAGGGAGGAATAAAAAAAAACAAAAAAAAAACTAAGAACATGTAATTCAGGCGAAAACAATCGCCCAGAATCCAAGCTCAGAATCCAAAGAAAAAAAAAATCTGCGACACGAGTAAAATAAAATATATCTAAACAAAGTGCTCAATACACTAAGAAGATAAAATCTAACTACGAACCTAAAGAGCCAGGCAAAACTACCAAGGTTTCACCTATATATATATACATCGTCATTATTTCATATATATATATATATATATATATATATATATATATATATATATATATAATAAAAAACAGACCTTTAAACTCCACCGAATTTCAAATTAATTTCTTCGTAGATTGTTTTAACATTTAGATATTTATCAAACCTTAACCTCCCAAATATGCACATTAAAGTAACGCAAATTAACAGCGTCTAAGAATTTGAATGAAACCTGTCGTGTAATTGATTGGGGTTGTTGTAGCTTCTTCCTTTAATATCGGTCTTATATCTAGAGACGAGACGCATTAAATTTGAGCAACATCTAGCCGACACACTGGGGTTAAAAATAGGAAATTGAAATGATACATATGAAACACTCATATCCTCTCTCCCACCTCACTTCCTCACATCGTTAATTTTACGTATACTTGATGAGGTCCGTAAAAAACGTGTAAATTTCTTTTCATTTTTCATTTCAGCTTTTTGAAGTAAAGTGTGATGATCCACAACCCTGTTAAAGGGGTTATGGTGAAATACCTTATTACATGGAATCTTAACGTGGTCTGTTTTTATTCAAACATATCTGCTCTGAATTTTACATTGAGCTCTCTGGATATCATCCTCCTCGGGTCTACCCATACGGATTACCTAAGTTTGCATAAACTATATATATATATATATATATATATATATATATATATATATATATATATTAAGCATTTCACCGCAAGCAAGGCAGGAGTGCCACTACCACGCAAGGGGTTAAAGACAGTGGGAGCAAGAGTAAAGAGGCGTGATAGAGGAAAGGATGAAGAGAAAGACGAGGTAATAGATCAAGGCATATGAAGATTTCGATTGATATTGAATTTGAATAATTGTAGTTTATAACTATCAGGGAAGCAAGTAAGAGTTCCACACACGGGAAATGCGAGACATGAAGCTATTGGAGTAGAAGGGATGTTTACATTTAACCGTTTCGACAGTGAATGGGAGGGATGAGATGCCAACCTAGTAGTACGCTTAAGTTCATGCAGTTTGAGAACCAGTGGAAGTACCTCTTCCGAGCATTTACCGTGAAATTTGTAGAAAAGACAGAGGGAAGCACGGCACGTCTGTGAGAAAGTGAAGGTAGATGACACATCAAGACCGATCACATTGCATAACCGTCTCTGGATTTTATTGAGGACCTTGAGACGAACATTGAGAGCTCCAGACCATATATGGCACCACTGTTCCACGCAATGGGGAATAGTTGATTTATATATTTAAAGGAGGGAATCAAGCGAGAAAAACTTTCTGGTGCGACACATAAAACCAACTTTACTTATATCAAATTAATAATATTCTAAATTATATATATATATATATATATATATATATATATATATATATATTCGCCTAAATCAAATAAATAAAACAATTAATTTATAATATTAATGCTCCGTAAGTTTACATTGAGTACTATTTAGTAAAAATAAAAAATATCTATAAGAACACCGGATTATATATCTTACTGTTTTCTTTCTTTATATATATATATATATATATATATATATATATATATATATAGACAGACAGAGACAGAGAGAGAAAGAGGGATATATATATATATATATATATATATATATATATATATATATATATATATATATAGATAGATAGATAGATAGATTCACTGATATTTGCCACTGCTATGTAGTTACACCTGTATATTCCTATCATCCTATTGCATTTTTTTTTTGGGGATCTCCAGCAGCTAACATTTTTTTCCTTAACGATTGTTAACCTACATCACCCCTCCAGCATTCTCTCTTTTTCGCGACCTTCTCTCACCTTTTTTTTTGCCTCGGAACATGGAAGAACGTGTCTGAAGACAGACGTGCTCTAAGACTCGTCACTCCGCCATTTATTGTACCGTGCCTGCTGCTCCCTTTGTGTGATGGAAATGACATCTACTTTGCTTTCCTGTTTGTTTCACTTTTTCTTGCGCTGTGAATCTCTGCCAAAATTTCTTGTGTTTTTGCCTCTCTCGATATGTGATGTCTTCAGCCGATAACACCCAAAAACTAGAATATGATATTAAGATCAAGGAAACACACCCGTTTTTCTCTTAGGGCAATCTACTTTTTATTATTATCTTGACTACGACAAAAACATTTAATAGCACCAGTTATATACGAATGTATGTATGTACGTGTATATATATATGTATATATATATATATATATATATATATATATATATATATATATATATAATATACACGTACATACATATATATATATATATATATATATATATATTTGTATTTGTATGCATGTATGTAAAATATTTAGCATGCGTAAAAAATAATACGTATAAAATATTACATTAATTTCCCATTCATGTCAAGATCTGAGAAGAATTCATATGATGCCTCTTATAGTATTCGAATATAATGATTTGAAATGTAGCGTTCCAAAAAATGGCAGGATGTAGCCAACAAAATTTACCTGCGATACTGTCAACTTTTAGAACTTGATAATAAATTAGGCAGTCGAAATTATGTGAACCAACGCAGTACAATATCAGTTTTGGTTTCGAAAAACACGATGAAATTTAAAAATTCAAACACTGTAGCTTAAATTGCAAGTATTTTTTCAGTATATAAAAATTATATAATTTAAGATGACTTCCTCATTGACAATTGCTAATGTTGCACTAATTTTACGCTGTTTCGTATATGTGCGTCGCTGAGTGCATTCGATTAAAATTATAGGCTTCAAAACAAGCTACAAATAAAACAGTAAATAAGAAGTATTCTATTAAAACATAGAAACTTAATAAAATTAATAAACCTATAAATTGTGTTTTCTTCAATGATCTTTTGTCCTTCATTGGATTTACATTTTTCAACAATAAGACATAAAAAATTCTTGTTTGGATTTCATATCCAATTGTATATGGAAACTATGGAATTTCAAATGGCTAGCTCATCCCGGTCTATTTCGACATATTCTATTACAAATTCGGTAAGATACATCCATAGAAATGATTTGCGGGTAGTCAATCTGAGGCCTTGAGCGTGCCGGCCTTGTTCAAATTCTTGATCATGCTAGATAACACTCACTCTCACAGAAACTGTAACAAAGGTCTGCGCCGCATAGTTGCAGTATAAACAACAGGTAGGATCTGTGGGTGTTGAGCAAACACAAATGTGCCTAAGCGAGCGTCTTCAATAGGGATTGTCTAGCCACCCTAGTAGAAGAGTATCCTCGAATACATACATACATGCATATATATTTTTTTATGTATGTATGTATATTATACTCATGTAATCTCGACTCTCGCGTCGAATTCGGCGTATGAGGATCAAGAGATTTGACTATAGTGGTGAAGGTTTTGTGCAGAACCATTCACACTTTTTAAAGGATAGAATACAGAGAGCTGGTGCACTACGTGTTACAAGTTCCCCAAACAACCTTCCGCAAGTTTTGAATCGAGAGTTGTCTTTCTCCTTGACCAGTTGCCATTGAAGGCTATAGAACCCATCTGTCCTGCTATTTACCCATAGGCGGACGAAGAAGAGGATTCATACTTTTCCCAAGCATGTAAGTGATTGTAATGGATTCGACTGGAATTCGAACTCGGCTCTCCGATTGCTTTCTCTCCCTCTCTCTCTCTCTCTATATATATATATATATATATATATATATATATATATATATATAAAGATATATATATATATATATATATATATATATATGTCTGTGTGTGTGTGTGTGTGTGTGTGTGTGTGTGTGTGTGTAAGAGTGTTCTTATGAAGATTGGCGCATGTATATAAGTGATTACGCGATGCGTTTGATTTAGCCGTAGATCGTTATACCAGAGTGTACAGTGCTGGGCCTCTATGAAAGCTGAAGATACAAGACTGGCGAAGAACGAAAAGCCGTTAAACTGAGATGAACTGACAGAATTACAACGAAACAGGCAGTCAATGAAATAGATCCTGGCAGTTGAAGGATTAAAAATGGCTGAAGGTGTCGCGTAGGAAGAACAATGGCTGAAGAGTGGGAAGCAGTTAGAAATGAGATTTGGCTACTTGAGTGATTGCCGAGAGAGTAAAAAAAAAAGAGGCTGTTGCATCGACAAAGTTAAGTACAGAGGAAGAGATACGCAGGCTGATATCGAGAAGTAGAACTGTTTAGTTAAGGATATCAAAGAATGATGTTCTATTTTAGAAGCATATGAATGCATTGATGGCTAGATTATTAGAAAAATAACTTAGCCCAGTAATTAAAGTGGGAATGCAAATCAGATCGATAGATAGATAGATAGATAGATAGATATGGAGACACTGATAGATAGATAGATAGATAGATAGATAGATAGAAAGAAAATCGAAGCTTGTCTCCCAGGTGAAAATATAATTATTACCATCTTTCTGCGCTAGTTTTTTTTTTTAGTTGGATACTAAAATAAAAGTTAAGGGATCCCAATGAGCATAGTGGCCTCTTTGGCAATTCTAAATCTCTACGACCGTGCTAGATTGCTGTTGATTGTAAGTAAGGATTTGACAACTTTTGTTTTTTAATCTTCCTAGGTATCAAGCTAGAAACGCCCGGTGGTTGAACTGGTTAGTCGTTGCAGTTACTTGTTCCATTGATAGAGTGACCTGACTTCCAGCAGGCTTAAATTTGGCCTTCATGCCAATCTAGGTATTTCTATGTCCTCGCGGGTATGTATACGATAGCAAACCGTACAACATAACAGCATAACGCACAGATATGCATTGGTGAGGATAATTTTGATGGTAGTTGAACCAACTATTGTGCTTATCTGACAGAAAATTTTTAATTCCGCTCGATGTCTAGCCACTTAATTCACGAGGCAAGCCTGATAGGGTGTCCAGTTTAGTCGACGATCACACGGATCATTATTTGAAGATAGATCAAACGATGACATTGTTCGAAAAGGTCTTGCAGACATCCCAAACACAGCACATACACGCTCACACACACATAAATACACACACGCGCACACACACACACACACACACACACACAATATATATGAATAAAATATATATATATATATATATATATATATATATATATATATATATATAAATGCTACTTATTGGAAAGCGCTCAATATAAAAGAAAGAGCTAACTTATCAATCCAAACATATATATATATATATATATATATATATATATATATATATATATATATATATATATATATATATATAAATGAATTTACACACGTTTGACGGGCAGTATTAAGCTTATATGTTGACATGGAGGTTGGTGAGGAATAGTATATGAGATATGGTCGAATTTAGAGAGGAAAGGAGAGTTTTAAAATTTATTTTTATATTTCTTTTTATTATAATACTTAATATTGAGAAGGGAGTGGGTAATGATCAGACATGGACCTAATTAATCGGTCAACTCAACGGAAATGATATGGGGAAAGGAAAAGGTGAAAAAAGGGAAAAAAAGTGGGGAAGTAAAAATATAAGAGATATACGTAGAGTTTTTGAAGGAAGAAGTGGGGTGATATAGCTTTAGAAATTTACATAAAAACAGATTTTAACGTTTGATAGTAATTTAAATGTTTAAATATATATATATATATATATATATATATATATATATATATATATATATATATATATATATATAAAGTGGATGGTCCTGCACGAAAACTTCACCACTATAATCGAATCTCATGTGCCGGTGTCGGGCTGTCAGTTTCCTGGAAACTAATCTGCTTGACCCTCATACGTCGAACCCGACAGGAGAATCGATTTATATATATATATATATATATATATATATATATATATATATATATATATATATATTTTTGGGGGTGTTAAAAAAAACATGTTAGTGCAACTAACTTAGAACATGTCAAAAGACATAACACATTAAATAAGAGTAAATCTCGAACAAGGAAAGAAAAATGAGTTAAAAGCAAGCAGCAACCCATTCAGTAAAGAAAAGTGCTCAACACCTATATTGTGTATATTACCGACTACCTACCTTTCCAATGATCTGGCCATTAAAGGAAGAAAATGTACCGAAACGCTATTTCAAGCTTATGGCGCATGTAATAGGTTTGTGTCAACCAGCTTCAGATAGATATAATATCAATATTGCACATTTGTAAATATATCTAATTTATTCCTAAATGCTTTGCAGTGTTTTCCTATTAGGAACAGAATGTGTAATAAACAAATTCGAAAAGCAGTTCCGTATTCTGCACTTTACATCGTTTTGCATATAAAGTGCAAGGGATTTTTTTTTCAATTTATCTACTCAATTTATTTATTTTCATTCATCTTGAAGAAAGAGAAAGTTATTACGATCAATGTAATCGAAAACTATTCAATAGACATTTCGTAAAACGTGCAGTAACATTTTCATTTATAATTTTACACGATTTAATAGACGGTCTATGTCGTGAAAACAGGTTAGTTGTTAAGTGAGAAGTGGGTGCATGTCATCAGTTCTGGGAAGAAATAGAAATAAACTGATTTGAAAGCAAAATGTTTATATACGTTAGGACTATTATACAGGGTGACCTAAAGAAACGGGAATTTTTGAAGTACATATTTTCAGACATGAGCAAGTGGCAATACTGTGAGACAGTGACCTTTAGCAAGTAAACATTTCGCCATTTAGAATTCAAGATGAAATTCACAGTATCCCAGCTGAGATGTTGCAGCAGTCAATGAGGAATCTCAACAGCAGATTTCAAGAATGCATTCGTACAGGAGGACGTCATCTACAGGACGTAATTTTTACAAAATGAAAATTCCATCATTGTTTTTTAAATGGCATGTTTTAAGGTTTCAATTACTATGAATAAAATATTTTTCTTCAATCACTCTTGGTGTTATTGGATTGTTAAAACGTTATATTTCCACTCTCTATATAAAAACAATATCAAAATAGAAAAAAAAACCTAACACGTCCTATTTTGGAGTATTGTAACATAAAACATACAAGATGACGACGCATTTCGAGATATCTTTCTTTTCATGTGTCATTTCCATTCAGAACTTAGGTGATCATGGCTCTCCGCTTCTCCTTTTTCTTGTGGCTCTCAGTAAGTTTCATGCCTCTGCCAACTCCCCAAGACCACATTCTGCCATACACTTGCTTAAGTCCGCCAAATATGTGATGCATTGTTTTCCCTTGTCTCTTTTCTCGCTCTATTCGACCTGTGAGTATCAGATTCTCCAAACCTTTTTTCTCATTATGTGTCCAAGAAATTTCATCTACCTCTTCCTTATGTTAAGTATAAGCTCCCTCAATGTTTGCATCCTCTCCAAGAGCTCATCGTTGCTCACATGCTTGCTCCATGATATCCTTAGTATCCTTCTGTAGAACCACATCTCCGCTGCCACAAGTTTTTACTTCATCTTTGAGTAGACTATCCAATATTCGCTGCCGTAAAGGAGGACAGATGTCACGTAGCAGCTCAGTACTCATTTCTTTGTCCCCAAAGAAATCTTCCTGTCTCGCAGTACTCTGCCTTGCTTTTGGTATGCATCTTTGGACATTTCAATCTGTCTTCAGATGGCACTTACCGTCCTCCGTCAAAACCCTTCCCACATATATAAACTTCCGCACCTGCTAGATTTCAGTATCCCCGAACTTCAAATTGCATTTTGGGCTCATCCTTTTACTGATGACCATGCATTCTGTTTTCTTGTAGTTTATGATAAATCCCTTTTTCTCGCTATCCCTCGATACTTTCTCTAGGAGTTTTTGTAGTTTCTTTTCCGTATCTTTTATCAGCACTGTGTCATCTGCGTATCTTATGTTATTAAGATTGTTGCCGGCACTGACGAATCCCGGTAGGATATCCAATTCTCTCAGAAATGCCTCACTGTCTAGTTTGAATAAGTCCGGTGAAAAGACACATCCTTGCTTACATATAGTCAGTTTAATATCGTCGCTTTACCCGTAAAATAACTCTTTCTTGAAATATTCAGAAAAGAGGGAATATATCGTATATACTCGTGTATAAGCCGATTACATATATAGTGAGACTCTTGTTTTTTTTTTTTTCTGAACAACCTGATTTTGTTCATATAGCACGTGTATAATGCGACCGCAGTTTCTTAGCAATACTAGTAGGACTACCGTAGTCAAATATTTTGCTGTACTGGGCATCATTCTGGATACATTTTATACACGTGCAAACGTGAATATAAACTGGAGAAAGGAAAAAAAAGCTTAGTTAATGATGCATTTCTATAAGGTATTTGTAGATTTCAAGCTGCACATAATGAATGACATTCTGCTGTTCATGTAGCTAGAGAAAGAAACTAGGCTACGGGAGGCAAGGGAGAGGAGCTTAACTTTACCGTTTTGGCTAGCCAAATGTACTGCGACAATGTAGGCTTACCAGGTAGTTTACGGTCATCGATGTTTGAAAAAAATACCTTTGTAAATGAAAATATGATACATATTACAGTTATTGTGTTCTTTATTTTCTATAGGATAATATATTATCAATTATTATTATAATATTTTAAAATTAAACTAAAGTAAAGTTTCCAAAAGATATCCTGCTACACTTCACTCGAAAACTCGGGATTCTTACGTCATCAAATTCCTGTAGGGTTTAACAATCTTCATTGAGATGAAAAGAATACAAAACGATGACTGACTTAGAAATGACAACACGGACAATATTATGATAAGAAATCAAATACAATGAAAGTACATTTCTTCTCTGTGCTGTTTCTCTTCAGGAGATGGCCGATCAAAGTTCTCAGCCACTTCCTATACTTTTTAGTTCTTAGTAAGTTTTGTCTTATTGCTATCTCTACTAATACGTATTCTTCCAACCACTTATACAAGCTCGTTCGGTAGGTTATTTTTGCTTTCCAAGGTCAATCTGAACTTTAATATACCCTCTTCATCCCTGTTAAGTTTGTCCAGCATTCACTGCCACATAGGGTCAACGATATTGCAAACATTTTGCTATTCTTTTTCCGTGTCTTAATACTTTGCTTTGCTTTTGGAAGACATCGTTCGCTATCCTAATACGACTTTCGATTTTGATGTCGCATTTCCTGTTAAAATCACAATGCTGGTTCTAAAGATTTTATCTCTCTGTTCATTGCATATATAACTTTTTCATCTCAATCTTATTCGTTTTCTCTTTATTCACTTCGATGAGTCTCTCTCTTTAAATTAACGTCTTTTTTATCCCCATCCCCGACTAGACGAAATTTATGATCTTCCGATTGACACTTATATTTAACACTCAATTTCAAAGTGTCAAACTAATATATGTTGATACATTTACACTGCCACATCTGCTTACAAAACTAATACATTTCTATTTCCGTTGAAGCATTTACGATAAATTAATG